TTGTTGTGTTTTTCTGTAGGGAGACTGAGGTCTGCCGTGTTGCCCAGGGTGTGGTCCGAACTCATGAGCTCAAGCAAATCTGCCCCATCGCCTCCCAAGCAGGTAGGTGATTACAGCGTGCCACATACGATCACCAGGCCCGATTTAAAAAAACTTTTGTATTAATGACAAGTGGTATGATAAAAGTAAGTGATAGTGCGCTGAGATAGGGGACTTAAATGGTGATAAGGGCAACCACAACAGAGTTATCGCCAAATCTACTAACACTTTTGCAAACACTCACAAAGTTCCTTGACATTCTATTTTACACAATATATCCTCATTATTCTAACTGGCTGATAATGGGAAAAATCCCATGAGGTGCTTAAAACTTCCTCCAGATTTCTCACCTCCAGAGATTTCGATTTAATTAGTCTGAGGTATTGTCTGGGCATTAAGACTTATAAAATGCTGTCCTGGGTGATTACTAATATTGAAGAGCTGAGCTGGAGAACCATTGATACATATGCTGATGCTAGATCCTAACCACCACCCTTTAGAGTGTCAAGGCAGGTGGTACCATTTACAGATGACAAAACTAGTTTAAGAGGGACTAAGAAGACTAAATCCGTTATTGCCCCGGTGATGAAAATGGCAGTGCTGGGCTAGAACCCAAGAATTCCCAAGGAATTTTGTTAGGGTAGGACAGAAAGCCAGGGGCAGGAGCAATGCTGGCGGGGCCTCACCTTACAGCAATAGTGCATGCAGCAGAGAGAGGGCAAGTCGTCGTCACACCCCAGAGGGCTCACGCAGACAGGGCAGTGGTCAGGCCGTGCGGGTACAGCCTGGGCCTGGGGTACGCACAGCCCAGCTGCCAGCAGCAGTGGCTCAGGGTCCTCACTGTAGCTCTGCAGCAGCTGTTCAGCGCCCCAGTGGCAATGAGCCAAAAGGTGCTGAGCGACATCTGGCTCTAAGTTCAGAGTCTCCTGCACCTGACACACCGTCTGCTTCATCAACCCTTCTACTTCCTGGGGGCTCATGGTGCGGCCTGCAGGCAACTGTAGAGATGCCAGGGTAGCCACAGCTTCTGGGCTTGTGGGGAGGGAAGAAACAGAAGTCAGTATTCCTGCCCTGTTATCCAGCCTACTAACTGAACCCCACCTGGCCCCCAGCTCCCTACTTGAGCATACTTGCTCGCTTGCCTAACCAGCCTCAGGATAACCACCCAAACCAACCGTCAGAGTAGGTCCTCCACAGAAGCACTTGTAAATGTCAGGGTGAGGCTGGCTGTTGCAATGACTGGGGAAAAATAGGTATCTAGGGGTCAGGGTGCTAAAAGACCAATAGCTGATGGGACAGTCCCACTGTAGGTCTCACCCCAAATGGTGGCAGCACCTGTAGTGAGAACAGCAATCTCCATCCTTACTGCTCAAGTGTGGTCTGTGGACCAGCAGCACAGGCATCACAGAGAGCTCTGCTGTTAAATCTGCATTTTAACACTAGCTCCTTGTTGAGGTTTGAGAAAGATTACTCGAGATAATTCACTTTACACATGATGCAAACAGCATGATACAAAAAGCAGGGCCATAACAGCTTCTAAAGAACATTAAAAAGCTTTAGGGGTGCTGGCTGATTAGTGAAATCCTATGGCAAATTCCTCTGTAGAACAAACTTCCTGAAAGTTTGTATATTTAACTGAGTAGAGTACATAGTTAGCAATCAATACATATTTGCAGGCCCCAGTTGGAAAGGGGTGGTGGTGCTGGGAGGGTCAATAAAAACTATCAAAGTTAGGGAAATAACAGGGATAGGGAAAAGGGGATTAGACAAAGAAAGAAGGGAAGTGTTTCTCCACAAGGGATATTGGTTTTGGCATGACAACCTCTCCCACCTCACTGCAAGGGGTCAGGTGGGGTGGCTACCTAGGCTTGGAGGTTTTGCTCTGGCTGCCACAGAAAGGGACATCTGCCTGACCCCGGCAGGGCCCCATGGGCTCTGGAGCAGCATACATCAGGATCTGGGGCTGGTCATCACGCCGTTTCACGTAGCCCTGGCCTAAGAGGTGCAGGATGCAAGAGAGGACATCTGTACTGGTACAGGCCACGCCCCCAGCAACAGTGTGGCCCAGGGTTCCAGGAGGATTTGGACCCTTCTGCCAGGCCTCCAGCACCTGGATAGGAGGAAAGAAACAATAAGGCCACTTTTACCTAGGAAGTAGGCTGCTGGGCTCAATGCCCAGCTCTGCCACTTATTCCCCCGCCTCTTTTTTTTTTAAGAGACAGTCTTGCTCTGTCACCCAGGCCAGGGTGCAGTGGCATGATCATAGCTCACTGCACCCTCAAACTCTGGACTCAAGTGATCCTCCCGCATGAGCCACGGTGTCTGGCGGCTCTGCCACTTACTAGCTGTGTGATTGTAGATTAGTTACTAAGTTTCTCTCTCTCTCTCACTTTTTTTTCCAACAGAGTCTCGTTCTGTTGCCCAGGCTGGAGTGCAGTGGCACCATCTCTCACTGCAACCTCTGCCTCCTGGATTCTCCTGCCTCAGCCTCCCAAGTAGCTGGGACTACAGGTGTGCACCACCACACCCAGCTAATTTTTGTACTTTTAGTAGAGATGGGGTTTCACCATGTTGGCCAGACTGGTCACGAATTCCTGACCTCAAGTGATCCACCCACCTCAGCCTCCCAAAGTGCTAGGATTACAGGCGTGAGCCACAGCGCCTGGCCACTACTAAGTTTCTCATACTTCACTGTTCTTATCTGTCAAATGAAATAAAATAACATTTATAGGATTGTCGTGAGGATTAAATGATGACTTTTTTTCTTTTTGAGACAGAGTCTTGCTCTGTTGCCCAGGCTGGAGTACAGTGGCACAATCTTGGCTCACCTCCACCTCCACCTCCTGGGTTCAAGCGATTCTCATGCCTTGGCCTCCCAAGTAGCTGGGATTACAGGCATGTGCCACCATGCCCAGCTAATTTTTATATTTTTGGTAGACACAGGGTTTCGTCTTGTTGGCCAAGCTGGTCTCAAACTCCTGGCCTCAAGTGATCCGCCCGCCTTGGCCTCCCAAAGTGCTGGGATTACAGATATGAGCCACTGTGCCCGACTGGATTAAATGACTTAATCATGCAAACTCTTAGAGTAGGGCCTAGCACATGGTAAACACTCATGCCTTATCTTTATCTCCTATCTGTTCTGTCAGGCACAGAAAACCCAGATGGAAATGTCACCCTACAGAAGTCTTATATTGAAAGAGTTCACTGTGTTCAGCCCCAATCCCAAGCATGATTCCCTCCCTCCCCCAACTTCATGGTCCCCTCTCTGCCTACCAGACAAACCAGCTGATCAATGTGGAGGCCCTTTTCCCCATGGACTTTGAGAATACGAACAAGAAGACAGCTCAAGAGATTCCTCTTCTGTTCCAGGGTTCGGCCCTCATCCTTCTCTACGTTCAGGTATGCCTGGGGAGGTATCAGCCACAGGGCCTCCCCACTGCGCTGGCGCCCAGGCTCATGAAGCCGCAGCACACCTGGAACCCACTCCCAGTCAGGTACCGGAGGAGGCAGAGGGACAGATGAATGGGGACTAAGAGGACCCCATTCTCACCCCTACTACAGTCCCTCCATCCTGAGGGCGACCCCCTGACCAGCAGCAGAGGCTCAGCCCGGTCCCCAGTGACCTACCCCTGTGTGGAAAGTCCTGGCCCTCATGCAGGGTCAAAGGGCCATTCCCCGAGGTGAGGGGCACGAGTGCCTGGAGCAGCAGCTCTGGGGAGAGGGCAGAATCCTTCAGCAAGGTCTCTACTGACACCTCCTGATGAGGAGAAATGCCCAGTCAGTAGTCAAAGGAAAGAAAAGAAGAGGGGAGGAAGGATGAAAGGAGGAACAGGGTTTAGGAGGAGAAGAGCGACAGACAAGGTGGCAGAGAAGACAGAGAGAGGCTAAGGGCTGAAGCACCTCTGTATGATTGAAATTCAGCAGCAGCCACATCTGCACGGTGGACACATGCAGTGTCTGGTTCCCAAACTGCAGCTCAGCCCGGCCCAGCCACGTCCACTGCAGTCGCCGATGTGGTCCCATGTCCAGGACTGGATGGTTCTGACCTAGGCAAGTGTCAAGGAGAAGGGTGGAGACACGGAATGGGCGAAACGAGGGGTTTAGGGGTTGAGGTGTCAAGCTTTGCTCCTGCTAGTCCCTGCGGGGAGGAGGGTCCCAGCATTTTCAGACAGATACCTTGTCAAGCTTCCAGATCTCAGCCTTCTCTGCGCCTGCCTCCCTGGTGAGCCACAGGTAACTAGGAGCCCATCTCTAGACCCAGAGCCTGGCCCTGAGCCAGGCAGGTTCCATGCAAAAACACCAGAGAGAAAGCACTTGCATTTTGCCCTCAAGGAGCTCACAGTTTTAAAGACCCACTAAGCTGGATCTCTTCCTCCTCCTGTTTCACAGCTCAGGCAGGCTGAGCTTGAGACATCTGTTCATACTGGAAAGCAAGGAAGCTGTCAAAGGGGGAGTATTAAAGGGACCAAGAGCCTACCTGAGAGATGCTCTCTGACCAAAGACGGGACAATTAGAGCATCAAAAAAAAAAAAAAAAAAAAAAATCTGCAACGTGTGATGGAACCACATAAAATATTTTAAAATCTATGAGTTCATAATGATATATTTTTAAAAGACCCCATTGGTTATATTTAAAACATACTAGAGAACCAACACATTATTTTTAAAACTAGTTAAAAATAATTGGAAGAGGAAACCATCAAGCCTTTCCTGAATAAACCGGACTTCAGGGTAAATAAACAGTTGGTGAAAGGAAGTTTCTCTTGAAAGCATTCCAGCTAATACATGAAGAAGGAATGACAGAACTAGATATAACTATTTCATAACCCCTAATGAAATGATAGACCTAAGCAATGGTAGAAACGCCTGCCTGGTGAAAAGCTGATGGAAAATTACATGTAATGTATAGACATGACTGACACACTGAAATCCGTTGATTCTTCTCAACATCACAAAGGGAGACAGGCTGAACCTGCCTCCTGGTGGAAGGACACATACCACCACTGAAGCGTTCTTGCCCGAGAAATCAAACCCAAATCTGGATAAGCCTCTACACCTACAAATCAGTTTTCAGGAAATAAAGGAGACAGAGAAATATGCTTGAAGACACCATGTGAATGCAATCAGGAAAATCCAGCCTGTGAATGAATAACCCACTTTCCTCCAGAAATAACTGCAAGGAGGATAAAATGGGAGATGGAAACCTATAGAGTAAGGGAGATGTAAGATAATGCAACCAAATGCAATGCATGGACCTTGTTTGGATCCTCACTAAACAAAATAACAAAAAACTCCAAGGCAATCAGGGAAATATGAGCAATGACTGTATACTTGATACAAATTGCAAATTTCTAAATATTTGATAATTGTAGTATCCTTTTCTTAAAAAAAAAAAAAAAGAGCACTTATCTTTTAAATTTTGGGGGGGAATAGATGGGAGTACAGATTGAAGCAAGATTGCCCATGAGCTGATATATGTTGGAGTTTAGTCTGTCTACATTTGTATATGCTTGAAATTTATAATAAAAAGACTTTTTAAATGAGGGTGAAAATAACCCTTCTCAGACAAATAAAAAAACTGGTAGGGTTTTCCACCAAACTCCTCAATGAAGACACCTTTTTTTTTTTTTTTTTTGAGACGGAGTTTTACTCTGTCCCCCAGACTGGAGTGCAGTGACATGATCTCGGCTCACTGCAACCTCCGCCTCCCAGGTTCAAGTAATTCTCCTGCCTCAGTCTCCCGAGTGGCTGGGATTACAGGCGTGTACCACCATGCCTGGCTAATTTTTGTATTTTGAGTAGAGACAGGGTTTTGCCATCTTGGCCAGGCTGGTCTCAAACTCCTGACCTCAGGTGATCTGCCTGCCTCAGCCTCCCAAAGTGCTGGGATTACAGGCATCAGCCACCATGGCCGGCCTGAAGGCACTTCTAGCAGATGTATTTTAAAAAGAAGGAGGATCAAGAGGCAAAGGAAATAGTGGCTAAAGCAATTGGCATGGTGGCAAATGTAAATATCCCTGAATAAATCATAATAATGACAATGTTGGAGGTTAAAAAAAGATAATTCTAAAATATGGAACAACAGTAATAAGTAATATGGGAATTAGAGCTGGAGTTAAGATTTTCTAAGATCCTTTTATTGTTCAGAAAGGTAGGAAGTGATATTAGCTAATCAAGGATACAGGTTAAAAATACAAGGGTATTCAATTATAAAAATAGAATGCCTAAGTTCTAAAACTGATACAGACAAAAAATAAATTTTTTAAAAACGATCAATCAATCCAAAAGAAGAAAGAAAAAAGACAGCACAAAAACCCAGGGTAGAATCATATGTACATAGGTGCTCAATTTATTCTTCTTTAAATACAAGAAGAGTAAACAAAAACATAAAATAAGAAGTTAGAAACAGCCAATTAATTAATGAATAATAAATGAATTCATTATGAGTTTATTATTTATGAATTTATTACGAATTTGTTACTCATAATGGGCTAAAATTGACATCTTAAAGAGATTGTCAGGTTGAACAAAAAACAAATTCTAGGTTTTTATAAGACGTGTGCCTAAAACACTAAGGGTATGGCAAAGTTAAAAGCAAAACAATCCCAGGGGAAATTCTAACAAAAGTAGAATACTGGCATGATTTTAAAGTATCTTCCCTGACAGACCGCTCATTAATTATAGCAAGGAGAAAAAATATTAACTATATGAGTGGAGAAAGCAAACAACCTCTTGGCCAGGTTGACAAAATTAACCTCATAAAGAAGGGGCAGATGAAAACTGTGTGCTTCAGGGTGTAAAGCCTTGAGAAGTACATGCCTGCCACATACTTAATATTTTGCCTGGGAATGCATAACCTGAATCTAATCATGAAGAAATATACCAACTTAAAATGAGGAACCATTTTTAAAAAGTAGGCCAGGAATGTGGCTCACGCCTGTAGTCCCAGACTTTGGGAGCCCAAGGTGGGCAGTTCACAAGGTCAGGAGTTCGAGACTGGACTGGCCAATATGGTGAAACTCCATCTCTACCAAAAATACAAAAATTGTCCGGGTGTGGTGGTGGGCACCTATAATCCCAGCTACTCAGGAGGCTGAGGCAGGAGAATTGCTTGAGCCCGGGAGGCGGAGGTTGCAGTGAGCTGAGATTGCACCATTGTACTCCAGCCTGGGCAACAGAGCAAGACTCCATCTCAAAATAAATAAATAAATAAATAAATAAAATAAAAAATATAAAAGGGGTCGGACGCGGTGGCTCATGCCTGTAATCCCAGCACTTTGGGAGGCCAAGGCAGGCAGACCATGAGGTCAGGAGTTCGAGAACAGCCTGGCCAATATGGTGAAACCTTGTCTCTACTAAAAGTACAAAAAAATCAGCCATGCGTGGTGGCGTACGCCTGTGGTCCCAGTTGCTCTGGAGGCTGAGGCAGAAGAACCACTTGAACCCGGGAGGCAGAGGTTGCAATAAGCTGGGATCGTGCCACTGCACTCCAATCTGGGCGACAGAGCAAGGCTCTGTCTCAAAACAAACAAACAAACAAAAAAGTAAAAGGACCGTATTCTCCAGAAATGTCAGTGTCATAAAAGGCAAAGGATGGCGGATGGGGAACTATTCCAGACTAAAGGAGACTAAAGAGACATGCCAACTAAATGTTACAGGTGATACCAGACTGATCCCTTCCTGGACAAAAAAATGAAGTCATAGAAGACATGATGGGTCAGTTGAAACAATTAGAATGGCCGGGCGCGGTGGCTCACGCCTGTAATCCCAGCACTTTGGGAGGCTGAGGCGGGCAGATCACGAGGTCAGGAGATCGAGACCATCCTAACATGGTGAAAACCCCATCTCTACCAAAAATACAGAAACAAAATTAGCTGGGCGTGGTGGCGGGCACCTGTAGTCCCAGCTACTCGGGAGGCTGAGGTGGGAGAATGGCGTGAACCTGGGAGGTGGAGCTTGCAGTGAGCCGAGATCACGCCACTGCACTCCAGCCTGGGCTACAGAGTGATACTCTGTCTCCAAAAAAAAAGAGAAAAGAAAAGAAAAATTAGAATATGGAGGCTGGGCGCAGTGGCTCATGTCTGTAATCCCAGCACTTTGGGAGGCTGAGGCAGGAGTTTGAGACCAGCCTGGCCAACATGGTGAAACTCCGTCTCTACTAAAAGCACAAAAATTAGCCAGGCGTGGTGGTGGGTGCCTGTAATCCCCACTACTCAGGAGCCTGAGGCAGCAGAATCACTTGAACTTGGGAGGCGAAGGTTGCAGTGAGCTGAGATAGCACTACTGCACTCCAGCCTGGGGGACAGAGTGAGACTCCGTCTCAAAAAAAAAAAATAGAATATGGAAAATAGATCACAATACTTATACCAGAGTTAAATTTTTGAAATTGATAAATGAACTGTGGTTATATAAGAGAAGACCTTTATTCTTAGGAAATATGTACTAAAGTACTTAGGGGCAAAGGGCCAGCATATACGCAATTTATTCTCAAAGGTTCAGAAAAATAAAAGTCTCTCTATACATACATATATACACACATATACACAAACAAAGGGCAAATGGTAAAAGCAAACGTTAACAAAATGTTAACAAAAGGTAAACTTGGATAAAGAGTATGTAGGTATTCTTTATATTATTCTTGTAATTTTTCTGTAAATTTGAAATTATTTCCAAAGAAATTTTTTAAGTAAAGGAATAAGCCAGGTGCGGTATACACAGAAATATACACGAAGAAAAAAAAATCTGAACCTGATGAAACCTCTAGATCTAACTTTCATTATTAAAAAGTTTAAGGAAGCCAGGTACGGTGGCTCACACCTGTAATCCCAGCACTTTGGGAGGCTGAGGCGGGAGGATCGCTTGAGTCCAGGAGTTCGAGATCAGCCTGGCCAACATGGCAAAACTGTGTTTCTACAAAAAATACAAAAATTAGCTGGGAGTGGTGGTGCACAGCTATAGTCCCAGCTACTTGGGAGACTGAGATGGGAGAATCACTTGAGCCTGGGAGGCGGAGGTTGCAGTGAGCCACCCAAGATCGTCACACTGCACTCCAGCCTGGGTGACAGAGTGACACCCCCTCTCAAAAAATACAAGTAAAAGGACAAATTGCATACTTTGAATGGTTAAAATGGCAAATATTATGCTAGTTATATTTTACCACAATTTAAAAAAAAGGTATGCAAAAGATTAAGAACTTCTCTCCATGCAAAAACAAAAAGCTAAAAATAGAAAAAGATAAACTGGAAAGACAATAACCAAAGAAAGTTGGTATACTATTAATACCAGAAAAAAACAGACTTCTAAACAAAAAGCTTTATTAGAAAGAAAGTCACTTCATAATAATGTTTCATTGACTCTGGAATTTCTAAACCTGCATGGTCCATCATAGTAGCCATCAGCCACATGTAACTATTTAAATTTAAACTGATTATGACTGAGCGCGGTGGCTCACGCCTGTAATCCCAGCAATTTGGGAGGCTAAGGCAGCTGGATCACCTGAGGCCAGGAGTTCGAGACTAGTCTGGCCAACATGGTGAAAGCTCGTCTCTACTAAAAATACAAAAATTAGCCGGGCATAGTGGTGCACACCTGTAATCCCAGCTAATCAGGAGGCTGAGTGAGGTAGGAGAATCGCTTGAATCCAGGAGGCGGAGGTTGCAGTGAGCCAAGATCAAGCCATTGTATTCCAGCCTGGGTGAGAGAGCGAGACTCTCTCTGTCTCAAAAAAATTAAAATAAAATAAAATAATAAACTGATTACAATTAAATGAAATTATTTAGTTCATCGGTTATATTAGCCACATTCCAAGTACTTAATTTCCATCAATGACTATCATACTGAATAGTGCAGAAAATAATTTTTCCATCATTGTAGAAAGTTCTACTGGATGGCACCGTTAAACTATTTTAACCTTCTAACAAAATAGCCAAAAAATATATATACAGTAAAACCAGTATGATTAGCAATTTTGAAAAATTCACCATCATAGTGGTAATTTTAGCACACCTCTCTCAGTAGTAGATCAAGTAGACAAACACTACTAACTTTACAGAAGATGTAAACAAAACAATTAACAAGGTCAATTTGGTGAAATATGTAGAATCCAGTTAAGAATACACATTCTTCTTAATCACACATGAAACAGGTAAAATATGACCATCTACTAGGCCATAAAGAAGTCTCAATAAACTGCAAAGATTCAGAATCATAGAAACCATGCTCTTTGGCCACAGGGGAATGAGGGTAGAAATATAAAACAAAAAAATAACGGAAGAAAAACTTGTTTGGAAATTAAAAATATATTCTTCTGAAAAACAAAATAAAGAAAAAATAATAGAAATTTAAAAATTCTTAGAACTAAACAATAATAAAAATAATACATAATAAAAACTTATGGAACATCCCAAATGTCCATCAACAGCAGAAAGGGTAAATACATCCATACAATGGAATATGACTCAGCAAAAGAAATGAATAAACGAATGATACCCCTGACAACTTGGATCACTCCCACGGACAGTATGTTTCGTGAAAGACATCAGACACAGCAGAATACTGTATGATTCCATTTACATGATGTTCAAATACAGGCACAAATCTATGGTGATAAAGGTTAAAAATAATGATTTCTCCTGGCAGAAGACATTGACCGGAAAGGGGGCATGAAGGAGAGAGCCTTCCACAGTGCTGGAAATGTTCTGTATCTTGATGGGGGTGTGAAGGAGGTAGATACATGGGTGTATATTAATATAATAATTTATGAAGCCTTATAATTAAGAATTGTGCACTTTACTGAATACTAGTTATATCCCAATCTGAAAAATCTTTTTGGCCAGGCACAGTGGCTCACCGAGGTGGGTAGATCACCTGAGGTCAGGAGTTCGAGAGCAGCCTGGCTAACATGGTGAAACCCCGTCTCTACTAAAAATACACAAATAGCCGGGTGTGGTGGTACACACCTGTAGTCCCAGCTACTCAGGAGGTTGAGACAGGAGAATCACCTGAACCCAGGAGGCAGAGGCTGCAGTGAGCCAAGATCACACCACTGCACTCCAGTCTCGATGACAGAGTGAGACTTCATCTCAGAAAAAAAGAAAGAAAAATCTTTTAAAACTTTATAGGATGCCACTAAAGCAGTATTGAGGGGAAATAAAGTCTTAAAAACTTTTATTTGGAAAAAAGTCTGAAAAGACTAAAAATCAATGTTAGAAAAAGAAAACAGAACAAATTCATAGAAAGTCAAAGGAACTGATAAGAGCAGAAATTAATGAAACTACAACCCATGCTTTCTCATCCCTCCGTAGGAGCTGATATTTTTCTTCATATCTATATCCTGTCCAAAGGTCCTCTCCTCTTCCTTTCTTGCCACCCCCAGTCTCACCCCGATCTCCAATTTCCTCTCCCTAGTTCCTCACTCTGGCTGTAGAAACTGGAGAAACGGTCAAGGGCATCACAGAATTCTGTGGGAAGGCACTTTCTGGGATGGTACAGGTAGCAGAGTGGGGAGACCGGCCAGCAGCGTGGTGACAGGACCAGTATAGAAATGGCTGGACTTGGATCTTCAATAAATAATTCTTTCTCAGCTTCCTCTTCCTCCTCTTCCTCCTGAAGGACATAAGGATTTCAAGGGCCCTTGGGCTCCCTTCTTTGGTCTAGTCTTCTCTCACTCTCCTATTCTCCCTGCTCTTACCTCCTCTTCCTCTAGTCTCTTTTCCTCCTCGTCTTCCTGCTCCAAGAACAACTTGTCAAGCCGCTGGAGCTGGAAGAGGTGGAACTGGCGCTGCAGCTCCTCAGAGGTACTCAGGCTCTGCAGCATCAGCTGGGGGAGGCGGTTGGGAAAACAGAGGCCAATCTCCTCCAGCACGGCCCCCTCCAGCCAGCTCGAGCCAAAGCACAGGAGACGGTCCGCCATATAATGCCTGCAGCACACACAGCCCGGGCCAAGCCTCAGTGTGGGTGGCAGCATGGCCCAGCCTCCCCCTCGAGAATGTAGGTCCCTCTGTCCCTCTGCCTGAGTCACACACCCTACCTCACCTCTTCTCTCCCACTCCCTTTCCACCAATGCATGACCACCTCCACTTTTTTCTTTTTTTTTTTTTTGAGACAAAGTCTCGCTCTTGTCACCCAGGCTGAAATGCAATGATGCAGTCTTGGCTCACTGCAACCTCCACCTCCCAGGTTCAAGCAATTCACCTGCCTTACCCTCCCGAGTAGCTGGGATTACAGGTGCCCGCCACCACGCCACCACTCCTGGCTAATTTTTGTACTTTTAGTAGAGACAGGGTTTCACTATGTTGGTCAGGCTGATCTTGAACTCCTGACCTCAGGTGATGTGCCCACCTCGGCCTCCCAGAGTGCTGGGATTACACGCGTGAGCCACCGCGCCTGGCCAGCCATCTATATCTTTCTCTCTCCTCTGCACAGCCTCTTTTCTCATCTCCCCTATAAGACTCAATCTGTCCACTCTCCAGATCTAGGCCTCCCATCCCCTACCCCTCCAGACCTGCACTCACTGATAGAAGTGCTCAAAAGTTGTGGCCAGTTCCAGACCAGAAAGGACCATAATGGGTTCCAGGTGCCGCTGAAGCTGCCCCAGCATTTCCACTCCAGGGGCTCCACCAATCAGGCCACCCTGGATCTGCTGGTCAATGTACCTGGCAAACTGCTCACTCATCTGGGGGCAGTGGAAAGGGCATGGGCAAACCATGAATGAGGGAGTGGAGGAGACTGGGGAGCGAAAGGAGGTGAAAGGGCAGAGCAGAAAGAGATGAACTTGGGACATGACCTTATAGCCCTGTGGGGAGCTGGTGGGACTCACGTGAGCAGCAGTGAGGAAGGACTGCTGCAGCAAGGCGCCAGAGAAGCCACTGCGCAGAGCCAGCGTGAAGGCTGCCCGAGGCCCAAACAGCTCGGAGCCTGCTCTCTGCAAGTGCTCATAGAGTTTACAGTAACGAGGCACAAAGTCTGAGGCCCCCCAAGCTGCAGCCAGGAATCTGCTGACCTGAGGAGAAAGGCAAGAAATGACATAAAAGGAGCAGCCCCTCCCCTCCGCAGACTTCTGCTTGCTTCTGCCCACCTGCTCCTGCACCACGCTCAGCCAGCACTGGGTTATGTTCCTCAGGCTGCTACTTGGAAGCACTGGCAAAGGCGCCGGGCTCCGGTCCCGACCCTTACTGTTCTTGCTGACTGTAGAGACAGAGGGAGAAGGAAGAGGTTTCATCTCAGCCTCTAGGTGAGTACACCGGTCTTGGGTAGTGATCTCCTGGAAAGGCCAGGAAGTCTCAGGGGCCTGGAAAGGCTGGTAGCAAAGCAGCAAGAGTAAGATCCAGGGAGAAGGGAGCCAGATACACCACTGCCCGCAGTCTAAGCTCTATTGGCCACGGTTGGGACTTACAGGGCCGAGTGGATGGCTCAGGAGAAGGCCCAGGAGGAGGCTCCACATGCACCAGCAAGTGGCAAAGGCGACGAACTCGAGAGGCAAAGGACGCTGCTCGACTCAGGGGGTTCTGTGAGCTCTCTCTCTGTTCTAAGTACTGATCCAGCAGCCATCCCAGGGCACTCACACCTTCCGCATCTGAAAGAAGACAGGTCAGGAACAGGTCTCCATGGGAGATGGGAGAACAGACAGCCCAGGGCAGAGGAGGGAGAAAGATCAATTGTACAAAAAGGCTTGAGGGGTAGTGGGGCCCTAGTCCTCCCCTCACCAAGGTTTGCTTCAGCTGGAGTCAGGGGAGATGGTAACAGGGCGGGGATGGGGTAGTGGGGAAGATTCAAATACCAGAGTCTCAGGGAGCAGTGCCTAGGGCAGGAAGGAGAGAGGAACATTGAGGTGACAGGCCTTCAGGGACAAAGACAGGAACCAAAAGAACCAAGAGCATTAACTCAGGTGATCCCTGGGAATAAGGACAAGGAACTGGTTAGTGGGGCCAGGTGTCAGCATGGTTACCGGGAGAGGTGATGTTCTGCACCAGGGGGCTGACCAGGGCCTCCCAGCAGGTCTTGCCCAGTGCTTGGGCGGCCTCATCATCAGGGAGGAAACGGTCGGCAAAATTCTGCTCGTGGCGCAAAACCCTGTTCAGTCTGGGAACAAACAGTGCACAGTGGAGGATTAAAGGCACTGATTTCCCAGAGGCCTCCATTCAAGTGCAGATCAGCTCCCAATCACCCCTGTTAGGTCCCTGACCCAACTTGTCCCAATCAACACAAACTTCTCACCTATGTTCAACTTCCCCCTCATGTCCTGGCTGCAGCTTTCCCTTCCAGACTCCCACAGAAGCATCCCTCCTACTTCTTAGTGCCCTGTTCCCTTACCCATCTTCCTTCCTCAGGCCCCACCCACCTGGGACAGAGCTGGAGGAGGCGCCGACGGTCCTCTGCTATGTCCCGGCTCCAGGCTTGTGCCCGAATTGTGTAGAAGAGACATGTTCGGCGACACAGCTGCTCCCGGAACAGTGGCCAGAATGTGGGCTTAGGGCCCAGGACCTCCACACCCCGAACCCGGGTGTCAATGCCGCCCTGGAACATGCACAGACTTATCTGTCACCTAAGCCTCTTGAGCCACTAAGTACTACCAAAGCCAAGCCTCCTTCCCTGAGCTCCCTAGAACTGCTCAGGACATCCCCACATCTCTGGGACTCAACAGGTCCCTGGGCCATCTCCCAAGCAGATCAAGGAGAAACCGTGGCTAAAGCCCTGGCCTCTAGATGTTAGAGAATGCAGCCACCCTGGAGACCCTGTGCCACCTCCTCCTCCTCAGCCCTGGCTGATGCCCTGGCACCACCTGCTGGCAGCGCTTTATGCGGATCTGGATGATAGGCCAGAAGCGGTTGAGATTCTCCAGGAGGATCACCCGGCTGGCAGAGGGCATCACATTCACCTGGCAGGGCAAGGGAGAAGAGGGAAAGGAGAGAGTCGTCACTTCCAGAAACAGGGTTGGAAAAACTGTTGACAGTAACCAAGTTGGTCATGGTGTGTGCCCTTCACTTCTCCTGCAGAGCCCAGAGATGGACGTGGCTCTGCATCCCTAATCCCACTCTCACTGCTTACAAGGCAATGCCTTGCCAGGAGGAAGGGATGTCACCATTCCCCAGGGACTAGGTCCTTCCCACAGGCACTGGGACAAAAAGAAGGACGTGGAGCAAGGTGAAGGGGGGCACAAGGGTTCCCACCGTGTTGAGCTCAGTGCTGATGCAGCTGGTGCTGTCACCCCCAAACACCACCACCCTGGCTGGCATGTAGCTTGAGTCCTCACTGGCCACCAACAAAGTGAGCTGCCTGGGAGAGAAGAAAGGAAACAGTCAAAGCTTGGCCTCTGGACATGGTGGCTCACACCTGTAATCCCAACATTTTGGAAGGCTGAGGTGGGAGGACTGCTTGAGGCTAGGAGTTTAAGATCAATCTGGGCCATACTGCAAGACCCCACCTCTACAAAATAAAAATCAAAAGAAAGAAATAAAAAGGCCAGAGCCCTGGTTTTAGTTCAAAACTATTTCAAGCCACCACTTCTTTCTCGGACACCTGTTCCTCTGCTGGCTCCTGACGCAGCTGTCCCCACAAGACCCTCTGCTCTTCCCTTTATATTCCGCCAAAGTGACTTAATTTAAACCCACGGTTTCAACTGAAAATTAATACACAGAGGACTCCAAATCCACATCTCTATCCCAGACCACTCTCCTGAGCTTTCATGCTGTGTACCCAACAGGTCATGTCATGTCCCATAGGTGCCTCAAAGTCAACATGCCCAAATGAAATGATCATCTGTCCACGTAAACTTGTCCCGCTTCCTATTTCTCCCCTGGGAAATAAAACTTCTGTGCACCCAGTACTCAACTAGAATACTGTCACTGTGGCCTTCGCCTTCTCATGGCTTCCCTCACCCAAAGGCAAGCCTTGTGGACTCCACCTCTGAGGATTTCCCAGTCCATTCCCACTCCTGCTGTCTAACTGAACACATGGATCCTTTCTCTACTAGACCAGTGCATAAACCTTCCATCTCTTTCTTCTGATCTCCAACCCTAATTTCCACAATTGCCAGAGTGAGCTTCCTCAATAAAAAAATCTAGTTTTCGGCTGGGCGTGATGGCTCACGCCTGTAATCTCAGCACTTTGGGAGGCCGAGATGGGTGAATCACGAGGTCGGAAGACAGACCATCCCGGCTAACACGGTGAAACTCTGCCTCTATTAAAAATACAAAAAATTAGCCGGGCGTGGCAGCCGGCGCCTGTAGTTCCAGCTACTCGGGAGGTTGAGGCAGGAGAATGGCGTGAACCCGGGAGGCGAAACTTGCAGTGAGTCGAGATCGTGCCACTGCACTGCAGCCTGGGCCACAGAGCAAGATTCTGTCTCGAAAAAAGAAAAAGAAAAAGAAAAAAAAATCTAGTTTTCTCTCTTCCCTTCTTAAAATCTTCTAATGGCTCTCCAAGTTTTGGAATAAAGTTCAAACTGCTTAGCTCACAAAACACTTTGTGATCTGCCTTTGCCTACTTTTCTGGCCTGTATCTTCTGCCACTTAGATATACAGTTTTCATTGCAGCCAAACATGACTACTAAAGTCCTTCCAAATACAGTTTCTTACTTCCATTTCGCACATATGCTGTCCTTGTGCCTAGAATATTGCCCCCTCTTTATCTACCTAATTTCAATGTCAAAACCCAGCTCAGTCACCCCCTCCTTCCAGAAGGAAGTCTGCTCTGATGCCTGTCAGTCTCAGGTCCACATGTGGACAGCAATGCTTTTTCTTACTCTGTGCTCTTACTTGATTTTCTAGTGTAGCTCCCCAGCTGGAATGTAGGTACCATATCTTATTGCGCTTCTATTTCCAGACCCTTGCACAGTGCCTGACACAAATGCCTGGCATTAAACAAATGCCCACAGGAGAAATGGATAAGTGAGCTGTTGATCTCCCTCAACACTAAGCACAGGGCAGTGCCATCTGTACCTGTTGGGGTACAGGTCACCAGATTCCAGGAGTGAGGGGAAGTCTATACTCAGCACAGCAAAGGCAGGTCAATGTGTCTATGTGTTCACTGCACAAAATAGGTTTGAGTGTGTCCCTCAGGCATGTGGGTTATAGCTGGGGTTGTGTGTATCTGGGTACTTTGGCAAAGTATCCTGGGGCACAGCAGAACATTCATATATGTGTGTTCACACCTAACAAGAACACCACGGTGCATGTGCAGGGTGATGTAGTGGGAGCCGGTGCTGCCGTTGGACTCCCAGTAGGTCTTGGGGTTGTGGTCCGTCAGCTTGCTGGCCCGGTGTGGGTTGGAGGACACCTCCACCTTCTCCCAGCACTTGTCCTCCTTCACTTCCACACTGGAGCCTGGGGGCAAGTGGGAAGGGGTGGCGGTCACAGCCAGGTTAGTAGAGAGAGGGAAAAGGAAAAGGTCTAGGGAGCAGGAAGGGAAGGGGAGAACAGACACTGGATGGGAGCCAGGAGAAAGCAGATGAGGGCACTAACCCTGGCAGAGATGCCTGAGGAACACATCAAAGAAGGGGATATTGATGGGTTGGTGGGTTCGTCTGTGGTCTTCGATCTGGCCCAGCACCATCTGCAGCCGGAACATCAGGGAGAATGAGGAAGGGGAGAGGGAGGAACACAGAGAAACACCCAGAAACAGGTCGACAGAAAAAGTAAAGGGTCAATGGTACACTCAACTCCTCTCTCCCCACATTTTGACAGAACCATGTAGAGTCAAGGTTAGGAAACAAGTGCCCCAGATTTGCTACAACCTGTGCCAAACAGGGATACCAAAGAGGAACACAGTGAATCCCCTTCCCCTGCTTCTGACTTGCATTCTCTCAGCTGCATACTCACAGCCGCTCCTCACCTGAATGCAGCCAGCCAGGATGCTAGAGGTGAGGTTGCTATAGAGCTGTGCGTACTTCTCACACTCTGTCACCAGGTCCCGAAGCTCACAGCCCAGCAGCAGCTGAGCTGAGTGCTTGTCCAGGACTTTGGAGAGGACCTCTTTGCTCCAGCAGCAGAGCACCACAGCATAGTCCTTATGCATCAAGGCCAGGGATGTAGGAAGCAGGTCAGCTCCTGAACAATCTGAGTCCAGAGGCCACATAGATTCATTTACAGGAAACAAGAGGTAGGACATGTAAGGATTGAGAAGAGGGTTGCAGTAGAGGAAGTGTTGTGGCTGAGATTGCGGGACAAATGCCAACGCCCAGGGAAACACAGAGTGGCCAAAGTCAGGGTGGATAATAGGAGGAGTGCTGGACTCCATTATGAGTTGGCAGAACAGATAAATATCCGCATAGTTCCTAGGCGTTTCCCCTGCCCAG